CACTAGGAGCACAATTTCTCCTGTTATCTGAGAAATTATTTCTGATTTCATTTTTTCCAGATCCCCTTTTGTTGGCAGTTCAGTGGGTCCAGGTGGTTGAGTGTCAGAGTGTTCCATCTCATTTCCCTTTGTGGTTGCTGTAGGTGATCTGGAAGTCTGGTCTTGAGAGTTATTTATGTGTTTTCTCATTTCGACTGGGGGGGGCTGGTAGGAGGAGTGCTGTCGGCACCCATGTGGCTCACCTCCTCTGAGCTGGTAGAGGTGGGACAGGGGCCAGGAGCGGCAGTAGGGATGGTGGCCTGGAAGCCTCTTCCTCTGGGCTGGGAGCAGCGGTAGGGATGGTGGCCGGGAAGCCCCTTCCTCTGGACCAGGAGCAGTGGGACGGCGGCTCAGAAGCCCCTTCCTCAGGGTCTGGAGCAGCAGTACAGAAGGTGGCCCAAAAGCCCTTTCCTCTCGGCTGGGAGTGGCAGGAGGGATGGTGGCCAGGAAGCCCCTTCCTCTGGACCTTTTGATTTTATTTTTTTACAGATTATAAGAGTACAGACTCGTGTACACTTTCTGGTTTGTTTGGTTTTTTTTTTTTACTTTAAACAGAAAAAGAAAAATTACAACTCATATGCATATTGGCATCCAGTTTACGCAAAACAAGTTCAAATTTTATTAACTGATGTCGCCATACATACTTATTTAATTAATTTATAAGACAACTTTGGTAATCTTTGAGGTATGTCATAAAGTACAGGTTTTAAAGAAACCATAAAAATATTCAGTTTGTCAATGATTATCTTTGTTAATTTAACAGAGAAAGTTTCAAGCTTATAATCCAGTCACTCTTGCTTACAGTCTGACACTCAAATTCTTACTCAGAAAACCACAGGTAGATAGACTGGCATCCCCAGGTTAATTGGGATTCAACCAGTGAAATGCATTTTCCCTCTAATCGAGTCAATACTTTCATTCCCTACAGGCATCTCAAAAATGACTTTTGCAATTCCGTGTGGCTTTGGTGACTCTGGTAAAAGAAAATATTTAACTGCAAGTAATAGTTTTTCAAATAGTAGCAATATATACACCATATTATATGTAGATCTACAGATTCCCAAGAAAGGCCTCAAAAGGACAAAACAGTAAACACTTCCTGAAATTTTCCTAAGTCTTGAAAGGAAATCTGATTTCAGGTCAGTTCATAAAGTCCTAATTTTCATGAACTACTTTTATTGTGATATAAATGCCTAAAAACTTTTTAAAAGAGCCCAAGCTTGTGTCTCACTTCAGTCAGTACATTTGTATTGGGACATACATGCCTCAAAGAGCTAAAGTTTGTGTCTGACTTATAATTTGCCAACTAAAAATGCCACACACATACATAAAGAATGAAGCCACCATTGTCCTGAAAAACCTTACACCTCAGATCGATGGCTCCACCCTGCGCACCCTGTGCATGCAGCATGGCCCGCTGATAACATTCCACCTGAACCCCAGCACGGAAGCGCTCTGGTCCGCTACAGTTTGAAAGAAGAGGTAATGAAGGCACAAAAGTCTCTGCACATGTGTGTACTGAGGAACACTACTATCCTTGCTGAGTTTGCCAGTGAAGAGGAGATCAGTCGTTTCTTTGCACAGGGTCAGTCCCTGACCCCTTCTCCTGGCTGTCAGTTTCTCGGGTCCAGCCAGAGTCGGCTGGACTCCCTCGACTGCTCCCACGCGTTCTCCAGCCAGACCGATCTCAACCACTGGAATGGTGCTGGGCTGTCGGGAACCAACTGTGGAGACCTTCACGGCACTTCCCTCTGGGGGACCCTGCACTATTCCACAACCCTGTGGGGTCCCCCAAGCAGCAGTGACCCCCGGGGAATTAGCAGCCCCTCCCCCATTAACACGTTTCTTTCTGTTGACCACCTGGGTGGGGGGGACAGTCCATGTGAAGCTGGAGGTGTAGCCTCCACCCGCGACCTCAAGACGCGAAGGAAAGGAGCACTAAGCTGGGCTCGCCGCCTGCAGCCAGGGCCACCTGTGGGAACAGCTCTTCTCTGCACATTCTCCACTTTGTGTTCCCCGAAACATATCAGTTTGAATACTTGAATCATGCAGGTCAATATTATAATGTGAACGGTATCTATTTACACTCCCAAGTGGCGCCATACATCCTAACCGGATAGAGTGAGCTCACTTGTGCATACTCATCATGTTTCGCCTTTGGATTCATTCATTCTTTTTTTCTCTCCCCACCCCCTCTTTTGCAAAACTATTTCTTGAGCTGATAATGTATGAGCTTTTACCTTTGCACTGAATGTTCTCCGTCTAATCGGAAGTATGGGGGGCAACTATTCCAGTGTAAATGTTTACTCAAGGATGTTCTAAAAGGTGTGCGCTCTACTATGCCTTGATGTTGCCTACCTTTATCGTGATATCGCAGAGTTTAAAAGATCAAGCGATGATACTGACTTAGGATTATTAATGAAAGTATTGCACCAGTTTTTTCATGTTGTAAAACTAAAGAATTTCGCTCTGCAGTTTGAAAAACTGTGGCCACAGCTGTGAGTTGCAGCCCACCTGCCACCCAGGACGGGCCCTGCACTTTGAATAGGCTTTTCCATTTTGTTTTGAAGGTTCCCATGTTGAGCCTTCTTGTTTACAGATTTTTTGTTTGTTTTTTGAGAAAAAGTGTTTACTCTTCCATCATTTAAAAAAAATTTAAAAGACAAAAAAATGGAGGATGATTTAAAAGATGCTTTCTATCTCTGGGAAAAAGGAGCAGCATTTGGCCATGTACTTTTGTTTTTCTATTCCTGTCCTAAATCAAAGAGCATGGTTCTCAGGAAAACCAGTTGCCCAGTTTAAAAAAAAAAAAAAATCTTGTAGTTTCTTATAGGAAAAGAAGAAAACCCCCAACTTTTAGCACTGATACTACATATCGCTGTTAAAAGAATTTTCTCTGCCACAAAAAAAGAAAAAACAAAAAAAAGCTTAAAGCTGGAGTTTGATGTTCTGCTTTCAGATGCTGTCTTTTTATTAGTGAGTGATGATGGTTTGCTAATAATCAATAGGTAATAGTTTTTGTAACCCATCAAGTGGCTCTCTATGTTCCTGCTCTCGTGACTGTGTCAATGTCTAACTGTTGTACCTTAAAGCCGAAATCAGTAACTATGCATACTGTAACCAAGGTATTGGGCTTACAGAGTTGTTTGTTGTATAAAGAAAATTTTAAATGTTGTTGCAAACTAACGAGTTACACCATTTTTAAATTTCTTTCCTCCCCCTTTCGTTGCCCACAAATGGTATTATAATGTTTGCTTAGTCAAAGAAGAGACTAAAGAAGGGTAAAAATTTTAACAGTACAGAACTTGCCATCATTTCATTGCCTTGATTCTAACTGTCTGTGTCCTAAGATGCAAAAGAAGTCAGTGGCTTTAACTGTTTACAAATAGAATGTGATTGTAAAATGTACAGTTTGGTTGTGTTTGAATTATGAAATTTTCTTCAGATATAATAAACCATGACTTTTTGGCTGCTCAACATTAATTGTCTCTTTTTTGTGAGTTTATTTGTAGGCTCTTTTTTATAGTGAAAGTTTCTAAGTTGCTATGTATGAGGTTCTCATAGAACAACCAGTTAAAAATCTAAGCAAATATTTGAACATTTTATCTGAACTCATCCGCAATTTCACCCTGAGATAATGTGAGAACAATGGGAAACTGTAGCTTGCTCCTTCCTGCCCTCTGAGCATCTTTGGGCCCCTGCTCCCCACAGACTCTGTGACTTCATCTTCCCCACCATTTGTGCCCATCTCAAGCCTCAGCCAGACCGCCCGGACCTGGAGCTTATGACCTGACGGTGTGCTCGTGCTAGCTCAGACCTCTGTCACGCAGTGGGGACGCGCGCCCGGCCGGCCTGCTCTGCTCTACTCTGCTCTGCTCTGCTCTGCTCTGCTCTGCTCTCCCCTCGCCCCGGCCCGCGCGGGGTCAGTAGGGCAGCGCCTGCGTTGCGTTGCGGAGTGTGACTCCAGACCGCGCTCCGGCTTGCAGGGTGTGAGCTAATGTTGTTGGACACCTTCCTAGAAACAAATGTTCAGTGCATTCGGTGTATATTGACTTCCATACTGGTTTTTCCAAAAACCAAAGGTAGCTTTGAAAAACTATGTCTGGAGATGTTTGGATCTAACGGTAAGCTGATGATGGGGCTTTGAGTAGTATACAATGACTTCATAACTGCGTTACTTGTATTGTTAAAGTGTTTGAGAGGTTTTTGCGCTTGTTATGTGGAAATAAAGTGTTTGATTTTGAAAAAAAAAAAAAAAGAATGAAGCCACCAAATGTGGCCGCTAACACACTATTTTCAACCAGATAGGTCACTCTCACCATGAAAGACTGCTAAACCTAATCCAAGCTTAGTTCAAGTATGCATTTGATCTGTTACTAAATGTCCAGATTGTAACATCATCTGTTTTTTAAAACTCAGATGATGGTTCTTCATTTTGAACATTGGTATCCTACATGTTTCCTTTTCCTAAAATCACTCTTCTGCCAAATGATGTATATAAAAGAGGCAAGGTGATCCCATCTCTGATATTTTAATAAATTAACTTTCATCAAGATATAAATGTCTGAGGAACTTTTCAGATAATGAACAACATGCATATTCAAAACATTTGACTATTGAATTTGCATACCAAATAAATGAAGACATTGTAACATTTACGGGATAAAAACCTAGAAATGTTATATATGCCTAAAAATTGTCCTTTTAAATTAGTAATGCTAGAGCTTTCTTTTCATATTGTCTTCTTTAGTCTCATAAACTTACCACAACTGGGAACGCAGTCTGTTGGATATGTAGTGATTCTGTGCTAACAGACAAATTTAAAGCATCAAACTTTAAGCTGTACTCTAGAAAAGAAGCCATACTACTCAATTCAGTGTGTCTCACTTTCTTTTTGTATCAGAGTTTCAATTCCAGAATATATTTCACAGTTCACTAGAGAAATTCATAGCTTAAAAATATGTGTAGAAAGCTGGGGATTTAGCTCGGTGGTTCCACTACCTGCCTTGCAAGTGCAAGGTCCCAAGTTCAATCCCTAGTACCAAAAAAAAAACATGTGTAGGAAGTGAAAAAACAGAATTCAGAGAGTAATTATCAAATGTTATTAAAAAGAATTTTCATATTAAAAATCTCAATGAGAAAATGAGATGTTCCTGGGACAATTAAAATCCTTCATTCGCCAGTTGTCTTCCAGATACTGTTTTAGTCCATAATATTACTAGCTTCCAACAGGTGTGCCAGTCTTGTTCTTATTTAGTAGATCAAAGGTTTTCTGAAGCATAATGAGTGAGCTCTTCAGCTGCAAACAAAATTCATTTTCAAAAATCAGATTGTGTAAATTTTTCTAATTATTTTATGCCAAAAGTTTACAATTACATTCATAAATTTTATTTATATGATGCCCAAAGAAAACATTGAATATTAAACACCTGATTCTTTAGAGTATCAGCTGTGGATATGACTGTTACAGAGTTCTTCCCACTGGCTGAAGTATTGCCCAGCTTCCTACTTCTGTATATTCTACCTTCCAATAGATCCATTAATCAGATTATCCAAAGTGAAAGGCTTGCTTTGTTAGATAGTTTCTGAGGTGCAGTGGTCTCTTCACTGTCCCCTAAACAACTCAAGTTCCATTGCTGGGCCATTCCTTGCTATTATGCTTACATTCCTCTTTGCTTATCTAAACTTATCCATGTCTCAAATATCTCCATGTAGTTTTTTCCTAATCGCCCTGCTTCTAAACTCCCAGAGCATTACTCTTAGTACTTAGCAATGCGAAACTTAATTTTGTACTTTTTTATAGTGTTTAGCAATACACATGGACATCTGATTTCTCTAATAAAGTTGAAATATGTCTTCATTCAACAATTATTTATTGCTTATCTATTATATACTGGGCAAAGTACGGTACTGACCCAAAATGGCTCTCTGCCTTCCTAGAGTGTTCAAACTAGTGAGGGATGAACTAAAATAAATACACACATAAAGATAGATTTTTTATTCCATTTTTTGACTTGAGTATCATTTCTGAAATGAGGCCCTCTAGGAGAGAATTAAGTGTAAGCCTGGAGGAAAACTGAACTCTGTTTGAGGCATGATCACTTTGGGATGCTGCTAGTCATCCAGGTAAAGACACCAAGGAGGCAAGTGACTGCCTGAATCCAGAGCTCAGGGCAGAGGTCAGGGGAAGAGATAGATTTGGGAGCTGCCATTGTTTAATGTGTCCCCTTCAAAGTTCATGCTGAAATTTAATCCCCAGTGCAACAGTAGTAAGAAGTATTGCTTGGAGAGATGACAGGTCATGAAGGCTTTGCACTCAGGAATGGACTTCTGCAAAAGGGTTGAAGGGAACCAGCTAGGTTCCTTTTATGCTCTTTGGTCCCTTCTAACCTGTAAGGATACCTAGATGGCACCATTTATGAGGAATAGACTCTCATCCAACCCTGAACCTGGCAGTGGCTTGATTTTGGATGGCCCAACTTCCAGAACTATTTCTGTTTCTACATGATCCAGTCTCAGAGATTTTGTTATAGTAGCACAAATGATCTAAGACAGGAATCCTAAGTAGATCTAAGAGGATCTAAGTAGATTTTAGAGGAGTGAGGAGTGAGGAGATAACCTAAAGAGAAAGCAGAAGAGAAGGAAAGAGAACCTTACAGAGCCCTGCAGCATTTGGGACAGGAAGAGATCAAGTAAACCAGCAAAAAGTTTTTCACTATTCTAAATGAAAGAAGCCAGTCACAGAATGCCACATATTCTATGAGCCACTTACTTGAAATGTCTTGAATAGGCAAATCTGCACTAATGAAAGTAAACTGGTGGGTAAAGGGAGCAACTGCTAATGGGTACAGAGTTTCTTTGGGGTGCATACAAATGTTCAGGAAATAGTGATGATGGGTGCATAACCTTGGGAACATACTAAAAGTTCTTTTAAAAGGTGAACTTTAGGGGCTGGGGATTTAGCTCAGTGGTTCCAGCACCTGCCTCGCAAGCGCAAGGTCCTGAGTTCGATCCCTGGTACCCCCCCCCAAAAGGTGAACTTTATAGTATGTGAATTACATCACAATAAAGGTGATCTTTAAAAAAAATATGTTCAGAAGGCAAGACTACATACATTTAAAGCAAAGGAGTGGTCAGCCCTGTCAAATGCTGACACTGTAAATGAATACTATAAAAGGTAAATTATTTTTACACACTAGAGATCCTTGTATCAAACAATGCCAATAGAGGCAATTATGGGAGAAGAAAATCACGCAGCAGTGAGCTGAAGAGTGAAATCCCTAAAAGCACAGTAAAGGGATTTGGGGGGGGTGGGTACCGGGGATTGAACTGGGAACCTTGCACTTGTGAGGCAGGCAGCAGAACCACTAAGCTAAAACCCCACCCCCCAGTAAAGGGATTTTAAAAGGCATAAATCCACAGAGGAGGAAGAACAATAAAGGAGAAAACAGCAGCATAACTTTGGAAACTAGAAATCACATGGATAACAACTGGCTTGGGGGAAAAAAAAGTCCTAAATTAACAGTAGGGAATTCAGAGCACCAACAAAATTAACCTGGAAGAATCTTCATCAGGTGTTGATGGCCAGGAAGAAAGGGCCAAAATAAGAAAAACTAGATAAAACTTTGGTTATATGCTATCTCCTACTATGTAGGCAGAAGTCTAGAGTTTTATTTTCCAGACAGGATAAAACAGTCTCTGGCTGTCTGGCCTGCATTGTTAAGACAGTGATACCACAGCAAAAATGGTGATTATGTGAAAAAATGTCTACTGAACACTAAGACTGTCCTGTCCCTTCTACCCCTCCCTCCCCATCCATCTTCTACTCCGCTCTTAAAAATACCAGTGGCCAGCTCTCTCATACTCAGGAGAATGAGTCTTCTCTGTGGAACTGACCATCCTCTGGCAAACTGACCTGAAGGTAATAATATCAGGATTTCTCAACTATCCATTCCAGCTAGCTCTATAAAGAAGTTTATGTAATCTAGTCCAATGCTTATGTTAAGAGCCTTCATCACGATCCACACAAGTAGACAACTGAGGACTATCAGGTATCTAAAGAGATCCTCTAAAGACACAAATTAAGAAGGGAAAGAATTGTGATGGAAAATGAGTATATAAGAAGAAAAAATTGTCATTAATATCTTCAGAGAACTAAAGATATTATAGTCTTAAAAATTATAGCACCACAACAAAGAATTCAGAAAAATAATAGCTCTTTGAAATTAAAATCATGTTAACAATAATTAGAAAGCTCAACAGAAGAATTTGATGATAAAGCTAAGGATATCTCTGAAGATGTAGAACAAAAATGCAAAATGATGGAAGCTGAAAAGAAAAGATTATACAACCCAGCCAAGAGAGGGCTGACATCTAAATATAGGAATTGTAGAAAGTCAGCGGAGAAAAAATAGAGGGGAGGCAATCATCTCCTGTATGACTTAAGGAAATTTCCAGGACTATAGAACATGAATTTCCAAATTAAAGGATCAGGAAGGATAAATGACTCTGAATTCTCAATAGTAACACTGGCAGCCAAAAGACAATGAAGAAATGCCTTCTAAGTTCTGAAGAAATATTATTGCCAATCTAGAATTCTGTTTCCCACCAAACCATCAATCAAGGGAAAGGATAGTATAAATTTTTTTTCAGGTAAATGAACTCAAAATATTTACCTCCACGCTCTCTTGGGAAGCTACTAGAGAATGTGCACCACTAAAGGGATATATCTCAGTGGTAGGGTGCTCGCCTTGCAATGTGTAGGGCCCTGTTTCTGTCCCCAGCCTTGGTGAAAATAAAGGAGAAAGGAAAACATGGGACATAGGAAGCAGACAGGAATCTCTGAATGATAGCTGTGTACCAGGCATAGAGGACCATGGTGGAATTCCTGAATGAATAAAGATTTTAGGAGGAGATTTATAAACAGAGAATTAGAAGACAAAATGTTTAATGATACTGATAAATGAATCAGCTGTAATAAGGTAATTTTAAAGATAGCCAAAAGCACAGAAAAGATAGTCATGATTTAATTGTATGGCCCAGCTCTAAGTAGCAAACTTAACCAAAACAAAGTCAATAATGAGTATTGATCTAATCAAAATTATGTTATAACTTCATTGGGAAGACAGTAGGAATCCAAAATACATGTGTAGGGGGTGAGAGGTAAGAAAGAAAACCAAATCCTTCTTTTCTAAAACAGAAAGTTAAAAGATAATGTCTAAAGCTGAAACACTCAAGAAATGGGGAAAAATGTGCTGAGACTGCCATTTTTCTGAACAAATATTGTAGAATAAATTAAAGCTTTGTGTGAACTATTGATTTTAAAGAAAATAAAAAGTGAATGGGTTATGAAGAATAAAGAAGTGACAGCCAGAGTAGGCAACTCTGAAAAAGCCTATGAAAGGACGTAGATAGAAATAAGTAACTAGAGAAGGATGTGGGCAGAGTGGGTTTGTTGGTACAGGAGTAACAGAGCAGGGTCATATGCTGATGGTAAAAATCTAGTTGATGAGGAAAACTGAGAACAAATGAGAAGTAGAAAAGCAATAGACAAAGCTAACATATGCTGGGACTTGCTTCCTATAGGCAGAGGACTACTTCTAATATTCAAAAAGAAGAGGATTATAGGTATGCTTACAGAAGGAGGAAAAGTTTCTCCTTTCTCCATAAGTTATGGTCATTAGCTGGGAATGAGAAAATGGAGGAGAAGATGAGGAGAAAGGTGAAAAATATGACACACTCCTTGCTTATAGTGGGAAGAAAAAGTTACTGAAGAACTGTCGATAGTGCACATCTGAAGAGTACCCAGCTGAAGCTCTCCCCTTCAGTGCCCACGTGATATCCTAACAAATGCTCAGTAATTGAATCTCTTAAAAACAAGTATATATATATATATATATATATATATATATATAACATATTAACAGTGATTGTGTCTGAATATAGAACCATGTTCTCTTCTACTAGTCTCTGTTTTTCCATGATGAAAGCAAGCATGCTGGGCATGGTGGTGCATGCCTGTAATCCCAGCACTTGGGAGGCCGAGGCAGGAGGATTGCTGTGAGTCCAAGGTCAGCCTGGGCTACATAGTAAGTTCAAGGCCAGCCTGAACTGCATAGCAAGATCCTATCTCAAAATAAATAAATAAATTTTTTAAGAGCAAGCAAGCATGTATTATATTCATAAGGGAAATATAAATCTTTATTTTTCACAGGGAATCCTAAGTTTTGGTTCATGGAACTAAGCAGCACATATTGATGATGCCATGGTCACAATATGCTGTTACTAGCCAAACACTGAAATAATCTGTATTCATTTCGATGAAGAACTGGTAAAATACATCACATTTACACAGTTGAGCCCTATGGAGCTATTAAGAGGAAGTTCTTTATATATTGATATAGAAGTATCTCCAACATATATGGTAAAAATAAAAGCCAAATAATGAAAAGTAAGTACAGTAGCTACCATTTTATAGGAAGAGTTTTTTGGTTTCTTTGTTTTTGTTTTTGGTACCGGGGATCGAACTCGGGTCCTTGCACTTGCACAGCAGGCAGCGAAACCACTGAGCTAAATCCCCGGCCCAGGAAGAGTTAATTTTAAGCATATAATTGTATCTAGGAAGGCCAATAAAAAGAATGAAATAGGTGATATGGAAACACCTTCAGAATCTATAACTAACTGAAATTGAAGGTATTTAACTTTTTTTGTAGAAAAAAAAGTGCATATGTATGTAATATGCATAATGGAGAAACTTTTTTCAAATATGGTTATTCTCATAACCAGAGTAACTAATCACAATGGTACAAAGGCACTAAACACTGCAGTACCAAGATTTGCCCACCTGTTCAAGCATCAGTATGGAATCTCGCAGCACTCCTTTTAAACGATGGGCCTGATCTTTGTCCTTTTGACTATCTTCTGTTCCAGAGACCGTATCAGAGGCTAAACTGAAAGAAAAAACAACATCATCAAAATCAAGAGACTAGCTTATAATCCTTCATTTCCAAAACTTTCAGTGCCCCCATAACTGGAAACAAAACACAAAATTAAACCAACAAATAATCTATTTATGACTATAGGAGAGTAGCAGACAAAATTTCTGAAAACTGGAATTGGATTATCTATAACAAGGAACTACTGAAATAATATGGTGAATATACGTGGGGTGGGAGACTTACTTTAAAGATTTCTCTTCTTGGAGGTGGAGACGGTAAAAGGACTGAACAGCATATTCAATCTTTGACAGCTTCAGAAACAGTGTCACATTCAACACAACTAGGAACATCAAACTAGGCAGAGCACATTACACCTGGTTAATCCACACTTATCAAGACTAATGCAAAATATGCATGCAAAAGCTGCAAAAATGTATGTTTTCTAAACTGTTTTCCCATTATTTAAATAAATTATCCCTATTTTATCATATAAAATAAGTAAGGCAATAAGTGGATGCTGAAGAAAAAGAAACAAGTACAGTAAAGGTCTTTTAATATCCCCAACTCACAGGTTGAGGTTGTCTCTGACATCTCTCCTCTCTGCTGGCAATTCCAGCCAGTGTGGATATGGACCACCAGCTAAGAAATCTATCAGGTAAGCTTTCATGCTCTATTTTTGGGTACTTTGGCTTCAGCAATCACACGCTCATAATGTTGCATTACAAAAAGGAAATGAAGATCAATATAAAGCTGATCTTAGATAGATCATGACTCATCTTATTCCCAGTAGAAGAAAAAAAATATATATATATATTTCAGCAAAATTGTCTTCTTATTCATAATGGGCAAAGAAAGTATAAAGTCCCAAATACACATTAATGATATCAAATACAAAATGTTACATGCTAAGTGAACTTAATGTATTGGTTTTCACAGAAAACTATCAAGTGAATGGATTCATACATTACTATACATATATGTAAATACAGAGGGCTAGGGATGTAGCTCAGTGGTAGAGCTCTTGCCTAACATGCACAAGGACCTGGGTTCAACCCCCAAAACAGGAAAAAGAACAACATCAATAAAATATTACATGCTAAATAAATGTAATGTATTGGTTTCACAGCAGACATTCAAGTAAATGGATCCATCCCTTATTAGACGTACATATATTCAACTATATAAGTGAAATCATTATCTATGTACTTATCTTTTTCTGTTAAAATATTGACTTACCTTAAAAAATATATAATGGAGCTGTGAGTATAGCTCAGTGGCAGAGCACTGGCCTAGCATGTAAATGGCCCTGGGTCTGAGTCCCAATATTGTAAATAGAGGTGTGTGTATATAATATGTATGTATATATATTATATTCAAAGGTCGATATTAGGTATTTATATAACTATATAGAGAAAAGAGGGTTTAAGGGAAAAAACTTAAGGCTAGCAAGAAAATCCTATCTATGAAATTACTATGGCACTGAAATAGTATGTAAATCAGTGCATTCAATATTTGAGTATAAATTTTCTGCAAAGCAATGCAGAATGACACTGATAATAGTTACCATTCAAAATTGTTGTAACAAACTAATATTGTACTATATTGTACCATAATGTTTACCATATTGTTTATGCTATAAAACTCAAAGGAATAACAAATACTTTCTATGTTCTAAAATCTATACTGAGAAAAACTAATTGATATGAGTTTCAGTCCAAAAAATTATCACCCAGAATGCATCACTGTGTCAACCAATTCAACTAATCTAAGAGACTAACTTATTCAAGACTCATACAGAGCCATGAGTACTCTAAATATGACCTCCCAAGTAGATTCCTATAGTGTGCCCTGAGATTCAGACTAATTGCCCAGTTATTTTTCACCATTTGATGCTCACATTGCAGTCAGAATAACCTGGAGTGTGTGCTTTAAAATAGTGATTCCTAGGGCTGGGGATTTAGCTCAGTGGTTTCGCCGCTTGCTGCGCAAGCACAAGGACCTGAGTTCGATCTCCAGTACCAAAAATAAATAAATAAATAAAAATAAAAAATAGTGATTCCTGATCCCTAGAGCCAAGGTCTACTGACTCAAAGCTTTTTCCTCAATCTCTGAAATTTAGGGTCAAGAAATCTGAATTTTAGCAAGCTTGTTATGATTGTTATGATTGTTATGATTGTTATGCACAGTAAAAGATAAGAACTACTGAGAGTAAATTAGTATTTTGAGGACTTTACCAGTATGTATATATAAGTATGTGCTTTAAATTTATGGAACTTCCCACTAAAACTATGATAGTTGAAATAAACCAGGGCCGGGGATTTAGCTCAGTGGTTCCGCCACCTGCCTTGCAAGTACAGGGTCCAGAGTTCAATCCCCGGTACCAAAAAAAGAAATAAGCCAGATTGGTTACAAAATAAAGACACTTGTTTAATGTGTACTTTTCCTTCAAATTTAACAATTCTGAAAATCACACATCAAAAACTGTCCTAGTTCAACATTCATCAAATAGTGGCAATTTCTACCCAGTAATATACGATACAAATTCATTTGGGAACCAGTTAAAAGTAAATGAAGACACAAGCAAAATTAGGATTCACAATAAATACTTACAAAATACTCATTACCACAATAAGAGCAATGTTAAAGCTTTCCACTTTCTTTTTCTTTCCTGAAGATCACAAGAAAAAGGATGCATTAGAGTGAGGACTGGGATTACAACTGATAAAAATTTAATATTCATTTGAAAAGAACTGGACTAGAAATTTTTTAAATTATTTGTAACAACAAAGTAGGGAAAATTCCCCGCACTCTTTTTTGGATTTCTGGTATCTTGAGTAATGTGAAACAAGTCTATAAAAAGAAAACCTACAACAATCCTTCAAATTTTGAGTATAATTTACCCTAAAATTAAATAAACAATTCAATACATCATGGGTGATATATAGCTAAGTACTACCTCTGCAAATAATAATTGAGCTTTGTTTACGTACAGAGTTTCACTCCCTAAAAAAATCCTCACCTATTCATTGTTGCCTAAACTTTTAAATTCCAAAATTAAAGGACCATTAACCTTCAATAGTGAATAAATATATTCACACTAAGATATAAGCCTAAAAAGAATTTGATAATATAGGAGGATGAGACAGTACAACAGCTTTATAGCTCTGAGAGGGGAGAGTAACAGTAGGGGCAAGATGTTTTCAAAATTCAGAGAGTAAAGATAATAAAAGTCAAGTTCCATCTTTATGGTTTTTTGAGGCTGGACCTGACAGTACCCAAGAGCAGTACGTCAAAGACAAAAGTCAATAAAAGTCAAGTGTAAATAAGGACTAAAAGGTATAATAGATAAAGTGAAATAGGAAGAAAAGGGGCAAAGGGGAAGGGGCAGTGGGAGGGGTAGGGGAAAGGAAAGAAGGGAATGGAATTAATATGAGAAAATGAAAAAATGGAAACAAAGTCTTTGTAAATAGGGAGGGATTGAGGGATTGAAGGGCAGGGGAATGGGGAAAAAATAAGAACCAAGAGAGATTACGTAAAGGTGCAATTTCCAATGATGAATGTCATTATATTGTCTACCTAAAATGTACCAATAAAATTAATTTTTAAAAAGATTAGGAACACTCTCATTAAAGGAAAGAAAAAAAGACCAAAAAAAAAAAAAAAAAAGACAGAACTCAAATATCCATGGTTGCTAGGTAAGAATAAATGAGAGAAGCAGTCCAGGAGCAGGACACTGGTGTTTGTGGTGGGGTCTGTGGCCAGCTGAGGAGCACACACCAGCCTGAAGCCGCAGTTATAAAGAAACTTCAGCCAACTGTTGCCATGAAGGGATTTGGATGGTGGGCTGTCAGATCTGAGTTTTCATATAAAAATCTCCAATTTTAAATTGTTGTGTGGGTCAAGTAAATTACTACTACTAGTCATATCCTTGCCATTTTGCAATTGCTCTTTTATGCTTATATACTAATTTTCAGTAACTGAATACGATAAAGATTATCAAAAAGAAGGGGAGAAATTCAGATCTCCTAACTGACTTATAAATAAGCTAAGATATTCATCTGTTTACCAGTGACAGCTACCTGGAATATCTGCTTTGGTCTCTAAGGTCGTATCTCCAGAAAAGCCCTGAGAAGTAAGCTTCGGAACTGTTTCTGCTGTTCGGTTGAATGTTCGCCTTCTTCTTCGTAGGCCACTAAGTTTTCCGGCATCTTCGATGGACTGATTTAACACAGATTCTTCCATTAACAACTCTGATTCTAAGAAATGGTTTTTAAAAAAAGAATCTTTAGATATGGGAAAAAAAACTATAAGACAGAAGGATTTTTTTTTAAGCCTTGATAACTTTCTTTAACTATTTTTAAGGTTCTTATGGCCTAGATTCAAACTTTACTCTAATAAAAAGCTTTACAGGTACAATGACCTCATAATGAGGTTTCATTATTCTAGGAAGAATGTATATTAAAAGTGTTGGAGGGCCAGGAATTTAGCTCAGTGGTGCTGCCTCCTGCCTCACAAGTGCAAGATCCTGAGTTCGATCCCTGGTACCAAAAAAGAAACAAGAAAAAAGTGTTGGGGTCATCAGTGCAAATTTGTCATGTGCTATATTAAATATTAATGCAGTTGTTTCAGTTATGGAAAAAACAGGCCACCCACTTACAGTGGATCATTAGAAAGATTTCCAGGCTAGGTTATGGTATCACAAAGGAAAGAGCAGCATATAATAGTTCTAATTTTCAATGAGGGTTTGCAAGAAAAGAAGTACTAGTAAAGAAAATCTGCAAACCACCTATAAATCCCATTTTTTGTCATTTATTTCATCAAAAACTCTACAAACCAAGCTGTCTGAAATAGTCCTCCAGTGAACTCCAAGAATTCTTCTCAATTAAAGATTTGATAAGGCCCCATGGTTGTTTTTTGTATTTCAAATCTGTAGAAACTCTAATAGGATAAGAAGAAAAGAAGGCAATGTATTTAAGGACAAACTTTAGTTGTATTAATATTGGAATTAAATGTAAGGTTATGTTACATAGAAACCCCAAAGTATGCAAAGTGATTGGAACTAAAAAAGAAAACTTGTCTACTGATAATGATTTCTTTAAAAACCACTGTGAGCTGCTAATAACTTCATCAAATTGTCCTTCTAAGTACATACCATTTTGTTACTTTACTTTCTGTAGCCTTGAATTTGCCTTAGCAATCAAAGCTCCAAATACATGCTAAATTTTGTAAATGCCTTGTATAAAAAATCTCTAGAGGTCACACATTAGCTTAAAGTAACTACATTAACTAGGACTTGCCCATTTCTCCTTAATGTACCCACCCTTCTCCTTCCCCGCTGTAGCAGTTGCTGCTCACCATGTGCTCTCCCAGAGCTCCCAGCCCCCTGCCTATAAACAGGGCCATGTGACTAGTCCAGGGAACTACAACACATTTCTACTGCTTTTTATTAGCAACTGAAATGCCTTTGTTCTGAGATGTGTAATACAGGATGACAACGCCTTAAGCAACTGGAGTCCTGGGTGAGGAGCTCCACCCCTCTTCTGCCTGAACATGTACATTAGGCAAAAAATAAAGCTAAGAACTCAGAATTAGTATTACCAGAGTATATTTAGCCTACTCTAACACACTCATTTGCAGTATCTCACCTGAGCCTGCATTTCTGTTTTGAAGACCGAATGATACAGTATCTGTTCAGGGTGTAGAAGTAATCATGGTAAGGGACATCATGGGTTAGTACTTCTGAATCTACTAAATAAAATTGTGCTTCCCGACTGTCTTTGCACAGTGTCTGCCAAAATAAGATTTTAAAAAATTCACACGGACATTTTTAACATTTTATATGTTTCTTGGCAATTTAGCACATACTAGAATTCCTTCTCAGGAATTACAAGACACCAGAAGTCTATATACCAAGGTATAATAGCCTTCATGTGGGCTATGCTGCTATAAACTGAGAAAAGATCCAGAGAAACAGAGAAGCTTCCACTCTGTCATTTCACTGTACAATTGATGCTTTCTTTAAGGCATAAGGAAGAGAAAGGAACCATATAATCTCATTAAGAGTTTTCTAACTTCCTGTTAGGGGGACAATTCAAAACTCAGTTGAACAATAACAAGGGCCTACCCTGAGATTTTTGAATGCTTAACAGAACCACCCTTCACAAAAACACAAAAAGGAGTAGGGCAAATGAATAAAACATCATTTTTCCTAAACTGGACTTAAACTGGCTATCAGCTAAATAAACCTTTCTCATTTTAGCCACATTTTTTCTACCTATCTTCTGAGGGGATTCCCATAGTTATCAAAAATTCCAATCTACCAAAACACTGGACTTTTCTTGTATTTTTGACAATCTTTAAACTTTTTTTAAAAGGCAAGAAATTACCCCCTTTTAAACACTGATGCACAGAACTGCAAGAGCATGCCTTGTTTGGGTGTTAACAGTACCTGCAGAACAGATGTGCTACACTTCAACAGAAATTGGCCAAACACACAACTCCACTCTAAGAGAGTATACACTGGTTACTGAAGAAGAGCATTCAATAGCTGTTTACTTCCATGAACTCAATCTCTTCCCACCACAACCATCTAGCTATCTAGCTCTAACCCTTTACATGATTTTGCAAATCAGATTTTAGAGATATACTTTTAAAAGTCTTTTATTGTGAAAAAGTATAAGCATGCAAAAGAGTAGAAATGAAATATAATGAACCCTCATGAGCTCATCAACCAACTTCAACATTAATTACTACCTGCTCTTGTTTCATCTGTAGCCCATGCCCCTATTCCTTTCCTCCACCACCATCCTCCGCCTGGCTAATTTTAAAAGAAATTCCAGGCATCAGTATAATTTCATCCACAAACACTTAGGTACATTTCTTTTTAAATTCTTCAGTATATCATTAAAAAAAAATAAGTACTGTTTAGTCCTCAAATCTCATAAATAACTTTTTCACAGATTATTGGATTAGGATTGGGCTGATAATGGCTTTATATACTTCTAAGTATAAGTTTCTCCTCCCCCTTTTTCCCCTTGTTATTTATTTGTTGAAATTATCTTGTCTTGCCATAAGCATGACTCTTTTGGAATACTAACAGAGTAGACATACCTGGTTTTCAGTAGCAGCAGTACATTTTCCAGTAAGTGGATTATTAAGGACTATAGTATAGGTCATGGTTCTCAGTTGATCACCTCCAGATTCTATAGTCCAAGGAGTAGATACTACGTCTAATCATGGCAAACATAAAATAAGTTAGTTCTAGAAGGGTGTGGCTTAAAATGGAATCAAAGGTGTAGATTTAGAATTAAATTTTAACTTTCGACCAGTCCTAATCCTTTAAACTATATGCTTAACATTAAAGAGAGATTAAATACTAGACACTCTTCTTAGATATGACATGTATACATCTCTGAAACACTTATTTCTAAATTGTTTTCTGTTAACGAACTTTTTCTTTAGTAGAAGATAAAAGTTACTTCATCTGTAGGCTTCTTCTTAAAGTCCCTAGGACCTATGGAGAGGGACAAAACACTTCAACATACCACCATTGAGGACAAAACTTTGAAAGACATTTGCTATTGTGCAACAATATGACTTCAATATCCACTTGTAGAGAAATCATATCAGTGTTATGAGAAATCATGGGTGATAGTAGCTTGTCTGCCAAAATCTTTAATCAAGGTGAGATGACAGCATATAAATGATTATATTTTATATAACGTTTTCTATATTAAGAAGGCTGTAGGATCATCTCCCTATGTTTTTGGTGGGATCTTGGTCAAAATTCTTTTATGTGCTTAGGAACAACATAATGAGTACAAACACTGTTTGAACAGAAATATAGCTTTAGAACAGCACCATACAGTGAAGGTCATTTCATGAAAGCCAAACGTTAGTTAAGTACAGATAAAAGCATTATGAACTCCATTCAAAGACCTAACCAGATTACCTAATGCCACTACACAGATGGATGTGGGCAATTACTCAGCATGTTTGGAGTCTGTTCACCAAATTCTAAAGTATAGCTGCCTTTATCTCACCCATTACCCACAATCAAAGGAATGAAGCAAGGCTTCAGGATATAGCCAACTTCATTCAACTTCTCTTCTACAGCAAGGCCTAGGGACTTAATGAGGGATCTTGAAACTGCCTCTTGAGTATCTGGAAAAATCTTATAACTAAATTAAAAAGAAAACTTCAGAAACCATGAAATCTATAAAACTGATTTATTTAGGTGTACATGAAATAAGAATATACAATTATTTCTAAAATACTTTTATTTAGTTTTTGTTTGTTTTGCGGAACCAGGGCTCAAACTCAGGACCCTGTGCTTGCCAGGCAGGTGTTGTGCCACTAAGATAAATCCCCAGCCCTATTTTAGTTATTTTGAGACAGGGTCTCACTACTTAGTTCAGGCTGCATTTAAGTCACTATGTAGGCCAGGCTGGCCTCAAACTCACAGCAATCCTCCTGCCTCAGCCTCCTGAGTTCTAGGGTTATAGGCATGAGCCATCACTCCTGGCTGAAAATGATACAAATAAGACGCTTTACATCAGAAACAGAATTGAAAAATATCATTGAATTCTGCTGTTAGAACTGTATACTCTGCAATAAAGCAAAAATCAACAAAGATCAGACCAAAAAATATATATATATTTTGCCATATTTATTACACTTGTATTTCTACCAATGTTACCAGCAAGGCCAAATGAGTATCATTTTCCATAACCTTACCAAATTAACCTCATATAGGAACAGTCAGTCCTGCAATACATAGGTAAAATTCACCCTTTTAAATCTCAAATAAAATTGTAAGGAAATGCTAATAGTATAGAAAAGGACATGAGCCATTTTGATATGCTGAAGTAAAGTAATTAAGAAGCAGGAATTTTAAAAAAAGAAGCCGGAATTATAGAACAATTACTTTAAGAATGCTTTGAAATAATAAAATTTTTAAATTGGTGAATCTTTACATCCATTAGGATGACTATTATAAAAAATACACAGAGAGAAAACAAGCATTAACAAAACTGTGGAGAAACCAGAGCTTCTGTATATTGCTGGTGGGAATGTAAAATGGGGGCAATCATGATGGAAAACAGTATGTCTTTCTCAAAAAGTTAAAGTTACCCTATGATGCAGCAATTATACTTCTAGGTATATAGCCAAAAAAAGGTAAACAGAAAGCAGAAGACTTGAATAAATACACATCAATATTCATGGCAGCATTAGATATATATCAAAAGCAGGGGACTTAAACAGGTATTTATACATCAATGCTCACAGCAGAATTATTCACAGTAACTAAAAATGTAAACAATCCAATGTCATAATGGATGAATGAAAAAAAAAGATCCTTTCTCTATACACACAATTGAATATTCTGCCTTAAAAGCGGATGAAATTCTTCCATATGCTACAGTATGGATGGATGAACCATTACACTAACTGTAATAAGCCCATCACTAAAAGGTCAAATATTGTATGATTCCACTCATGGTAGGTGCCTAGAGTAGTTAAATTCATAGAGACAGATAATAGATAGATAGATAGATAGATAGAGAGATAGATAGAGGATATGTCATCAGGAGCTAGGAGAGGAAGAAATGGAGTTATTGTTTAATAGGTCAGAATTTCAGTTTGGGATGAAGAAAAAGTTCTGGAGATGGATGATGGCGATAGTTAACAACGTGGAAGGACTCAATCCTTCTGAACTGTACACTTTTAATAACAAATTTTATGTTGTATACATTTATCATAATTTTTAAAATTCATAAATTCAGGTAAAGGGTACATGGGTTTTATATTATTTATGCAACTTTTCTGAAGGTTTTCATTTTTCAAAGTAAAAATGTGGGGAAAAGACTTAAAACTTTAAATTATAAATAGTGTCATACAACTGTAAACAAAGATTAAAGATTTAAAAAGTTAGATCCAGTAGTAGCCATTTAATGCTGGAATTAGATTAAATACACAAATAGTTGTTTATACAAAAAATCAATATATTCTCTATATTTGTACTTCATTCTTAAGAAATACAACCTTGATTATCAGGTAACAGGTCCAAGGACAGCAATATGGTTTGCAATCATGAGTAAACTCTCTTTTGGGGAAAAGCTTCTGACTAATTTTACGTCTACCTTGCAACGTGCCTATAGCTGTTTAGATTTGGAATTAGCCCTACGTTTTTGCCTCCTAACGCCATTTATAATTATCAGATAACAAATACAGTCAACCATTTGGAAGCCATACATGATATTAGACAACAAATGCAGTTGTGTTTCAAGAAACAAAACTTGCCTTAGTACTAACAGGAAATAACATGCTACTACCTCATGGGCCCTTTCAGCCACGAAATGACAGTACAACATCAACTTAGAAAGTTAAAGTAGGGCCAGGGATTTAGCTCAGTGGTTCTTCTGCCTGCCTTGCAAGCCCAAGGACCCAATTTCGATCCCCAGTACCAAAAAAAAAAACAAAACAGAAAGTTAAGGGAAATAATATAGCTAACTCTTCTAAAAAATACCAAGTTCTCCAGGTAGAAATGAATAAAATCAAAATATAAAATAGATTCAGAAGAGATATAAAAAGTTAAATACAAGCTATTGAGCAAAGAGGAAGATTTAGATCTCTTAAGACAGTATACATTTTTATTTTGGGTTTGGTTTTTTTTTGAGACAGACTCTTGGTATGAGGTCCAGAGTAGCCTTCAATTTGCCATGGAATCCAGGCTGGCCTTGAACTCATACTTCTCTTGCCTCAGCCTTCCAAGTGCTGAGATCACAGGCGTGCACCACCACTCCTGGCTAGTCTATTGAGCCAGTCATGGTGGTGTACACTTGTAATCCCAAAGCTTGGGAGGATAATGAGTTCAAGGCCAGTCTGGCTACACAGCAAGACCGTGTCTCACTCCCCACCCAACTCCTCAAGAAAAGGAAGATGGGGGCCTGCCTCACAAGCGCAAGGTCCTGAGTTCGATCCCCAATACCAAAAAAAAAAAGGAAGAGGAGAAAAATTATTTTCTTAAAAACTGTGTGTGTGTGTGTGTGTGTGTGTGTGTGTGTGTGTATGAGGAGTGAACCCAAGGCCTTTCCACCGAGCTACATCCCCCGTCATTTTTTACTTTTTATTTTGAGACAGGGTCTTCCCAAGTCACTAAGTTGCCCACATGGCTCAAACTTGGGGGATTATAAGTGCATGCCACACTCCCAGTTTAAAACCATGAAATTGAACCGGGGATTTAGCTCAGTGGTTTTGCCGCCTGCTGCACAAGTGCAAGGACCCGAGTTTGATCCCCGGTACCAAAAAAAAAAAAAAAATCCATGAAACTCTTACTATAACCCCAAGAATTAATATCTATTGATTAGAAATCTTTTTGTATTCTACTATGAATAGTAAAAAATTGATTTTTGTTCCTAGAATCCATATTAACGATATCATCTATGAGTTTATAATTACATAAAAGTTTCAAATAAAGGGATAACATCTAACAGTTGATAAAATTATATAATTAGATGTAAACTATAGATATAAACCTAGATTATAAGCTATATTTAAACTGATTATAGGATAACTTTCTCATTGAAATGGCTTACTCTGTACAACTCTCTGTTGCTATATTCTAATTATATAACAAGCTAAACCACATGCTTTCAAAATTAATAAAGTGTCTGGAAACACTTGGATAAATTCATGTCAAAACTGTCTATAAGCTTATTTGAGATATTTACCACAACAGAACTTTTAACACATGACCAATGAAAACCTTATGACTATAAGCAATTTCCAAAATAAAGCTTTAAAATTTTTTCAGTAAAGGATATTGTAATTTCAAGTGTATAGCTCCATGTTAGCAAAGGAAACACACAGTGTATCACCACGAAGGCTAAGTAAGACATGGTACTTCTACCAGCATCCCTAAGTTCCCTCCCCGTCTTTACCCACTGGATTCTCAACAACTATAATTACTGCTAACTATGCTAACTGTAACTACTATGCTAACTTTACATAAAGAAATTATATTGCATGTACTATTGTATCCGGCCTTTTTTTCCTTGTTCAATAAGGTGTCTTTGAGATTTATTCATATAAGTAGCATATAAGTAGCAGCAGTTTGTTGTTGGTTTTGTTGGTATATACTATTCTTTTATGGAAACTTGTACAATTTATTTATTCTATTACTGATTGATATTTGGAATGTTGTCAGCTTGCAGGCATTATAAGTAATAATGTAGTAGGTATCATTTACAGTACACAAGTACTTTTTCATTTCTTATTTTTTTCTTTTGCTTTGTTGAGACAGGGTCTCATTATACAGTTCAGGCTGGCCTTCAATTCACAATGTAGCCCAGGGTGTCCTCTAACTCACAGTAATTCTCCTGCCTCAGCCTCCCAAGTGCAGGATTATAAGCATGGACCACCACTCCCAGCTATATACCCATTTCTGATGAGAATACACCTAGAAGTCTATTCTCAGCTTTGGTAGATGCGGGCACACCATTTGGCAAGGTGGCCATTCCATACCCCACTAGCATCCAGTTGTTCCACAACAGACCCTTTTAAATTGGATTCAATTCAATAAATATATACATTAATAAAAATATACATATACATGAATGATAAGTGAAGCTTTAGTTTCCAAAGAGTCTGAACTTCATTTTAAGTAGCATCTGTCTAATTTAAAAATTATATTGTTCAATGTAAAATTTAACCAAACATTTAAATATCACTTTACATATATAATCAAAATAAAATCAAAGCATGTCTCTTTTTTCCCCTGACAACATAAATCAATTCAGATAGGCCCAACCCTCCCAGGCTAATAAAAATCCCTCCCCACACTATCATTAGGTAACAACACAAGAACCAACCTATTATATTTCTAGAATTGGCAAATCTCTGCATAAAGTGTGAACTAGTGAAGAGCAATTCAAACATTTTCTCAGCACTGATATGAAAAACACGGTTGATATAAAGTCTTCCTTGAAGATCCTTCTCAGGAATATTTTCTAGAAAAACAAACACAGACCAAAAGAGAAGAAATTAAGGAAAGGTCATTTCAAAGCTTTGGAGGGTTTTGTGTTCTGTTAAGTTTTAGCACAAAATGGTTTCTAATTAAAATGATCAGCACATTTCAGGACACTCTCAAAACTCCAAGTTAGAATTGTACACATATGCAGCATACAATTACACACAGCATATATTGTTATGTGCAGTTACATATATATGATCAATATTTCAATTGTTGAAACCCAAAAGCTGTAGAAATGTTTAACTAGAATATATCAAATCCCCCATAATGTACCACTCAAAAGAACATTTAAGTTCATAAAGGCAGTACTGCAGCAAATAGAATGGTATACACCATGGCCATTACCAGGTCCTACGTCTGAATGTTCATATCTTCAGCAAACATTAAGTCACCCACGGCTATAATATCTTTTACACTCACTAACTTGTCAACCTGAATAATTTTTCAACTTGACTTTAACTCCTCCAAAACAAAGATCACTATCTTCACCTGCCCCAGTAATATACATTAAAAGAATAGGGAATATTGCTGAAAAGTATTCTTCAAAGCTGCTAATGTCCAATGAAATACTACATGCTTTTCTGGGAACTTAATAATGATGATGTTGAAAACTGGTGGCAAATGGGGCAGTATCTGTTCACTTCTTCCCCTACTTCCTGAAAACATTAGATAAAACTGCCCATAATTATATTGTACTTACTACATGTCAGACACTGCTAAACACCTTGCAAGCATTGACTCATTCTCCCTGCAATCCTCTGAGAAAAGTGGAATTCCATTTTACAGGTAAGGAGACTGAGGCACTATTTTACACTGTCAGAAAGAGTTGAAGGATTTTTTTTTAAAGAAAGCTAAGAACAGGAGCCAGGCAGAATAAAGGAAACAGTGAAAAGCAATCCAACATGACATTTTAATGATTTAATGACTGGAATTACTTATTATTTCAAAGATTATGCCCCATCAATACTGAATGAAAACTACAACAAAAACTCCCCATATTTTTGAAATCGAACTCTACAAATTATCTGTCTAAAGCATCTGTCAATATTAATCCACGGAAGCAGTCTGGTTAAATAAAAGGACAATGGTCTATGAATCAGAAAAATACCTCTAACTATGGTTTGACCCCATCTATCCCTATTTCTCCCTCACTGAGTGATTTATGTCTCTATTTTGCCACCAGTACAAAGAACTTAGGGATACCAGGTATATACTGATTTACCTTCTCCTGCAACAATACTATATGAAGACAAAAACTATTCACTGCAATTTCAAATAATAGCTCCTTTGGCATAGAAATGAATCACCGAAATTAGGCAATTTGCTGAGGTTTTGTGAGGTAACTTCCCAGTAGGCCAGGGAAAAAGCTTTTGCTGACACAGAAGTATTATATTCATTGTAAAAATAACTCAAATATACACAAAGAAAGCAAAACAACTATAGCTGATTCTACTGATCCTGCTCATTTCTTCACAGAACCTAGCCTGATTTGTAATTGCATTTTTGGTGGTCTATTCACTTATTATTTCTCTCCTGTACTTCCATGTGAGCAGGGACCGTGTCGATTTTAAACACCAATGTACATCCAGTTCTTGGCACAAAAAGTGTTAAGTAACTATTTTTGAATGAATAAATTACTAATGAAAATACTAAAACTATTTTACAATCCATTTTTATTTATAGGACTTTAAGCAACCTTTAAAAAATCTTTTATTTTGGAATAATTTGAGATTCACAGTTGATTAAATTAGGATTTACTCCTCCTGCCCACCTCCAAGTTGTTTTCCTCTACAAGGTTACAATTCAGGATATAGTACTACACTGCACTTCGTTGTTAGGTCTCCTTAGTCTGGTCTTCTTAGTCTGTTCCAGTCTTTGGCACCTTATCATTCTTCCCTTGTTTTTTTTATGACCTGACCTTGGTTTTTTTGTTTTGTTTTGTTTTTTGTTTTTTGTCGGAAGGAAGACCTTGCACTTTCCAGGCAGGCGCGGTGCCACTGAGCTAAATCCCCAGCCCTACCTTGATATTTTTTTAATAAGTAAAGGAACATTGTTCAACCCAGCAGCAGGTTACTATTAGGAAGAAATACTATTTGAAAAATGTCAGTTTCAAAGTGACCAATGGAAACAGTATAAAGTGAGACAGATAAATACAGGAGAAACATGTACACAGATGAAACTAAAAACATGCTGCCAGTTCTTTGAGGGTACATAAAAATGTACTAGGTCAGTATGCAAAAAAAAAAGTAGTTAACTGAAGCTTAATTTAGTGACTAATGACACAACATTTGTTTTATCTTCCATTTTCCAAAAACTGGTGATCTGCATCTTCTTGACTCAGGGTATTCTTTACAACTGAAAAAACAAGTTCTTTTGTGTACTGTGCAAAAATCTCATATAACTAACTATGCCAGGGTTACCTGGTTTAATTTCTTGGCTGCTTCTCTGACATGCCAGCCTATTTCACCAGAGGTCTACTTATCCCTGCCTTTATTAATTAGTAGTTAGTAAGAATTCTCTAATAGGGCCGGGGATTTAGCTCAGTGGTTTCGCCACCTGCTGCGCAAGTGCAAGGACCCGAGTTCAATCCCCGGTACCAAAAAAAAAGAATTCTCTAATATTCTAATACCTGTTACTCTTTGCCTCTAATTCATTGTATTCTGTGAGCTCTAGCCATGGAATCTGTTGCTATTCATGTGTGTCCTTCCTACAGCCTAATCTTTGCTTTAGACTTAGCTACCATTTCTGGCATAAGTGACTTGCTTAGGAAACCCTGTTATACCAGGATCTGTCACCATGACATAGCCCAGAAGTCTCATCCCCTCAGCCAGTTTATCTTTTTCTACTCATGGCTTATCTTTTTCTACTTTCTAATCTCCAGATGTTTCACAGTATTACCCAGGACATAACAGAACAGGAAAGGCAGAAAAAGCAAATTTTGACAGTAGCAGAAATACTATGCCTTCAAAAACACAGCCATAATTTCCTTATGGATACATGTGTCAACTCATCTTATTTTCCGGGAATCTTCTAGCAGCTTCTCAGATATTCTAACCTCCTTCCCAGATTTTCCTGGCTGGCGCATGTCTATTGGCAATGACCCTTTCTTTTTTTTCCTTTTTTTTCTTTTTTTTTGAGGTTAGACAAACTTTATTTGCTGTATGTGTGATTTTCCTTTATATTTATTAGTACATGTTGGCAGTACATGATGATTGCATTCCTTGTGTGGAGTTGGAATATGTATATAACACATCTTAATTCCTTTTCTCATCTCCTTCCTCTCCTCTCCTGTCCCTCTTCTTCCACCTCTTGATCCCTTTCCCCATTGAGAAAGATCTATTTCTCTACTTCCTATTATCTCTTTTATTTTGTTCTTTATTTATATTTTGAGTTTTCCATAAAAGAGAAGCCATAGACCTGAATTTAGAGCAATGACCCTTTCAATAAATGAAGATATTCTATAGCTCATTCTGTCAATTATGTTATATCAAAGTTTAAAATTAGTAAAAATTTCACATAGTAAAACACAATGCTTAGCATTTCATTCAGCACCTAGGTGAGCCCATTTCTGGAAGTATGAAGTTCTCTCTAAAGAGGACAATCTTCAGTCTTGGTGGGCTCTAAACTATGTGGCATAGAGGAAGATTAAAGTAGAGGTCAGTCCAGATAATTCTTTTTTTTTTTTTTTTTTTGGTATGGGGGATAGAACTCGGGACCTTGTGCTTGCAAGCAGGCAGGCAGGTGGTGGAACCACTGAGCTAAATCCCCAGCCCCCAGTCCAGACAATTCTTGTCTGGGCTTCAGTTAGACTCCACATCAATGAGATTGACCACATCAAAAAAGTCCACTGCTCTCTCCCCGAGACTATAGCGTATGCGTGCTAGGAAGGGAAAAAGAGAGATCCTATAATTTTCTCACTCAATCTGCTCACAAAAGTAGATCAAAACACTCATTTTAAACAAAATGATGTTTGGTTTAAAATGATCTGCCACCAACAGCTGCCTCTAACCACTCCCCAGCCATTTCCAAATTTCCTGGGATGGTTTATTTCTTTTGACTTTTCTCATTTTCTCCCAGTTCATTTACTTATGAAATGTCTTCCTAAATTTATAACTATCATAAAAAAGATACACTCTTAGGTCGGGGATTTAGCTCAGCGGTTCCGCTGCCTTCTTTGCAAGCACAAGGACCTGAGTTCAATCCCCAGTACCAAAAAAAAGATTCACTCTTATGCCTATTTAGCCTGAGATCTTGGAATAAACAGGAAAAACAGCAGGAGTACTTGATTTGTTACCTAATTGATTATCTATAAGAAAAGCCAGAGTTCAATCCCTGGTAACAAAAAAAAAGAAAAGAAAAGAAAAGCCATTATCCCATAAACCTGAAGAAAAACCTCCACAAACAGAAGGCTGAATGTTACATGCAAGTTCTTATTGCTATAAACCTGAACAGCATTTAAATGGGCACTGGCAAAGAGGAAAATGTGATCAGGCTCATATGCAATACAGATATGAAACTTCCATTATTCTGTCTTTATTTCTAGGTATACACACAGCTTTTATGATGTGTAGCACTGTCCCTTACACCCTTACACAACTTATCACCAATGCTACTTTTATAGGAACTTGATAATGAAACTACTTTTTTTTTGGTACCAGGGATTGAACTCGGGACCTTGTGCTTACAAGGCAGGCACTGGAACCACTGAGCTAAATCCCCGGCCATGAAACTACTTTTTAAGGACCATCCTTATCAAAGAATAGATGAGAAAAGGAATAAGTAAATCCTTGTTTTGGTGGCACTTACCCATTTGGCCACTGGGTGCCAGAGTAGATCTTCCTAAAGTCCTAAATTCAGGCAGACGGGCTGTAACTAATGCGTGTCTAGCAGCCTTAATAGTGCAGTTGCCCCTCGTGATCTTTCCCAATGACTCTGGCTGTACTGACTTCATTATCAATGGTCTCATAATTTTTTTTA